ATGCTGACTCTGTAAACCGCTTAGAGAGGGCTGAAAGCCCTATGAAGCGGTATATAAGTCTATTGCTATTGCTATATATTTAAATTTAAATGTAGGGAGAGGCTGATCATTAAAAGTAGCAATGGAAGAATTTCTGTTACAGCAAGTCAAGCACTGCAGCATGAAAAGCAACCATTTCATAAAATGACAACTGTACTTCTGACTGAGCAGCTGTAGAGAATGGGATATTCCAGTGGGCTTTACTGTATTCAGAGAAGTGGTAAGTATACAAATGGCTACAGCAGACAAAATTGTCTTACCTCTCCCTTCAGGCTGTACAAAACAGACACCTCAAATTGGCTAATGAGTTTATGCTTGTAGTCCGAAGGTCTCAAGAGGTTCTCTGCTGTATTCAGATATGTAAAGGCCTCAAATAAGAATAACAGAACAGGAAGTATTCATTTCTGTATTCTATATGGTAATCCCCAAATACCAGCAATTCCCTCACTACAGGTTATAAATTCTCAAGGACAAATATTCAGATACTATAGAGGGGGTGAATCCAGGGTGCAGATGTAGCATCTATTCGCCATCTAGAATCTATTTACCACATAGAAAAAGAAAATCTGGTAAACCAATTCAGTTTTTTTTAATAGAGGGGGAAGTGATTTTGGTCTTTGTTATTTTTGACTGTACAACAACTTGCCAGGTTTAACAGTATTTTGGTTAGCTACACCTACTCAGACAGAAAAGAGAGAACAAGCTTACTTTAAATATAAAAGTGATAAACTAAAATATGCTGATTTCCAAAGTGGCATATTCCCCCAGCACTAAAATTTAGCATTATGACCAGTGGTGGGATCCAGCTGGTTTGCACCAGTTTGGGAGAACCAGTAGCTAACTTTCTGAGCAGTTCGGCAAACTGGCTGTTGGAAGAAATCTCCTTCCAACAGCCTTTTGTTTTTCCCACTTTACTGGGTTAATCCTGTCAGGAAGGCAGGAAGGAGACATTCTGGTGTGCTTCTGTGTGTTGTTTTTAGCCTAATCCTGCTTATCTTTATTGCCCTGCTTAAGTGTTTTCTGAAACTGCCTCTGTGGGTAAGCCTTGTTACATTGAAACAGCCATTAATGGTTCTGGACAGTACACCCAGACTTTCTATAGCCTGAATGGCTTCTCTGGAGTTTTTTCCCCCTTTCCTGATACTTTTGTTCTGGGACTTGACTTTCTTAAAGGGGAAGGGTTGTTTTAAGCTTTTTACACTACTTTAGTGGTTCCTGGCACTGTCCTTTTGGGGTGTACTTCCAACAAAGCTGAATCCCCTCCCAGCCACTCCTTGCCTCCTAAATAGAGTGATCTGGTTAAACTTTGGCTTCTTTTTTTGTTTGTTACAAAAAAGGTTTTTGGGAGTCCCTCCACTGGTGGGAAAGTGATGAGATAATCTTTTTGGACTGCCGCTGCCTACCTGATCAAGTTAAGCAGTGCTGCCTTGAAAAAAAATCTTTTTCAAGCTGCATCTTTCCCTCTTTCCTCCAACGCGGCTTTCTGTCCTACTGTTAATGGGATTAGAGTTCAAGGGGGGCCACCACAGGTGCTTGAGGAAACTGGGGGAATTGGGCATGACAAGGAGTGGCTGGGAGAGGACGGGAGAGATGAGGCGGGGCCAGGGCGAGATGCCTCTCAATGTGAGTGATGTCAAGTTTGCCATGCCCATCCAGTCACATGACCACCCAGCCACGCCTACCCAGCTGGTCATTAGGGCAGAGAACCGGTTGTTACATTATTTGAATCCCACCACTGACATATAATAAAAGCTTGACATATCATTCATGAACTGTTAGCATGCTAGATTGACTCATATGCTTGCAGTCTGTTACAATTTTTTGAACATTCTCCAATCTTTTTTTTTTTTTACAAAAGTTTTGGCAGGGAGAATGAATTTGGAGCATTTCAAAAATTTTTTGTATTTTTTAAAATTAAACTGCTATTCAGATTTGAAATCTGCTGTAACTGCTTTTCAGATACATGGAAAAGGTTACTTTAATGTGTGAATAGGTTGTTTATATTCATAGAGAGCCAGTTAGGTATAGTGATTGAAGACATCAGACCCCATTTTAGGCACAAGCTGGGGGATCTTGGCTCAGTTATCTCTCCCAGCCCTAGGAAGGAAACAATGAAGAATTGCTTCTGAAAATCATTGCGAAGAAAACTATCCGGACTAATCCAGGCAATTGCCAGGAGTTAAGACTGACTGGAAGGCATGCACTCAAGGATACATAGGATGTTTATATTTTCTTTTTAATTAAGTGATTTTGTTTATCTGTTGCAAAATTAGTCTCCTGACAAAAGAGCAAGGGCTAAATCCTCTAGTCACTTGCCCTAGCATGCTATGGTAGGAAGTAGGGTTAAGAAAATGGCCAGAAGGTATCACTATCAACACTGTTTCACTTTCTGCTCTTTGGCCTTTTTATCACTGGAAGGACAGCATAAGTTGTGAAAGCCATATTTCTCTAACACACTGAAATTATGGAGTGGATCCAGGGGTGGGTTTCTCGCCCCGTTCCAACCGGTTCGGTTGGAACGAGGCCGGTGGCGTCCTCGCGCATGCGCGCGCGTGCATACTAGCGTCTGTGCGATGCTCCAGCTGCTCCTGGAGGATCACGCAGGCGCTGTATGCGTCCTGCG